AAACTTTCTTCGAAACCTGCCAATATATTTTCTAAATGCTCGATTTAAAAAAAGAATATAAAGCCCATATAAATTTTCTAAATACATTTTTTCCATTTATTAAAACGAGGCACTAAATTTTCATTTACGTAATTACCAGACTCCTTTTTACAGCGATAAATTTCCTTTTTTACCAGTCTTTAAATATTACCGAGGAGAGTATTCCATTCATTGCCTAGCGTAGTATTAAAACGACATAAAACTATCACGGTTGGAATTCAGGTTACGACAGTTATTCGAGTCAGTGTGAATGAAATTTATCCGCTCGGACATTCCCTCCTCGCTGAAATGAAAAATTCGAAAAGCGTGCTGTTTCTATGAAAATAACCTCCGTACCTCTGGTGCATAACTCGAATATAGCTCGAGTCTAAGACCTTATTCAAATTAATCAAGTTAGCGGAATTCGAATCGCCCGAGTCGAAATAACTTTAAACCACTTCGCTGATGTGATCCTGTTATTTAACTTAACTTCCAACTCTTGGCTAACGTGAAGTCTATCTTGAATTACGTGAACTCACAATTTCAGTTTGCAATGTGAACTTCGAGAAATATCAACTCACACGCGAACAAACAAATTATGAATAAATACAATTAAATAGAACAATACAGGAGTTCTTAAATTTTCAAAATGTGTGATTTTATAGAATGGAAAATTAAAATATTGAAGACAAAGATACGAATTTCATACCAAGTGATGAATTTCTACGAGACTATCCCAGATACCTAACATTAGAAATTAAGTTAAAGCTACGCAAATTAAAATTAACTTTAAATTAAATACTTAAATTAAGACATTATTATTAACTTCAAATCCAATTACAATGGTACTCCAATTAATCATAGTAGAGAGAATCTGATGGACACCTCCCATGTGATCGACCTAATCCTATAAATGATTTGTCTTTATATAAATTTATATAAACATCTTTGAGGCCATTTTAAGTAACCACTACTAACCCTTATTGCACCCCAATGCTTATATGAACAACCATAATTATTTAATAACCAAACCGTAATGAAAAATTCCCAAAAATCGCAGGACCTTTATTTTATTTCATTATTTGTAATGTAACATATAATACATTCAATTCTCCAAAAGCTCCTATATCATGTCAAAAATAAGGAACACCGAGGACACTAAAAATTCAAAAATTCAGTCAAAAGGTAACATACGTTTTTATTAAGTGTTCAAAATTAACCCTTAACTAGAAATTAAATACCTCCAGTTACATAGACACAATCTGGAAACCCAATTACAATGACACTCCATCAGTATATCCATCTTCAGAGTACTATAGCCATTGCTATATGCCAATCTATCCACAGATCATCAAAATTCTATACCAATTCTATAATCATGAATGGATATATCAATTATCGCTTGAGATATTACAAATTTAGAATACAGTACTAAGTATACCGATCTATACAGTACTATAGCCATTAGATCAATCTATTTACTGAAAATCTAAATTCTACAGCAATTCTATCAGAGCAAGAATCACAAGAGAATTCAGTGGATATCCTCCATATGGACAACCCAGACGAATAAATGACTCGTCTCTCGACGGATCCATACGAAACCATGCGATCCTCGAATTCGGACGACTCGGATAAAATTATCTGGACTAATCCATAGCTGAAAATAACGGTGTCAAACGGAAAAAGGTATCGTCAGAAGGAACGGTGACGCAACGAATGCGCCTTAAGCGCGGCGCACGGAACAATGTAGAACCAACACACAGTCGGACAGGTATGAAAAGTAATTAGCCTAGAATGAGTTTTTCTCGGCGGGTTTCATACACGCGAATGTAGTCGACCCTGAGCATTATTGCGTATCAAAAGCGGATAAAAGTCGCGAAGGAAAACGTTCCAAGAACGGCTCTCGATTTGGGTTTCACGCGTAGGCTACACGCCTATCTCATCTCTGAATTTCCTACCTAGTGTTCAGCCTTATCATCGTTTTCATCGACTGATGCTTGCTCGTCCACTTTCGATGACTTTCCTTGTTAAATAACACTCTGAGAGTACTAAATATCCGCGAATCCTCACATGCTCTAGTCTATTCTCTGCCAAACTTCAGCGCTGTCACTGATGAATTTTAACGCTCTGTCATCCACTTTCAATGACTTCCTTTCGCGAGCGACACTTGCTGAGTATCAAATACTGTTCCATATGTCTTCTGCTTTGTTACTTGCCAAATGTTATCGCTTTCATCGAGGAATTCTAACGTTTGATCGTGTGCTTTGGGTAACTTTCTCGTATGACAGTCAACCAGTGTCAAGTATTATTTTGCACACGTAGTGTCTTCGAATCTGTTGCACATTTCGCCAAATTTTAGCGTTCTTAGAGATCAATTTTTGCTTCTTCAAACGTCACTTATTCAAATTCTTTGATTCATGCTCTGAGAAATTGTACTACCATTTTTGACCATGAGTTGTTCTAAGATTTGATTATCTTTTTTAGCAATTTTTTTTTTTTTTAATGACACTCCGTGTAGTTTTAAATATTACACAAAGTGCTATTTTTTGAAAAGAAAAAAGTAATTTTATACTATTTTTCTTTAGATGAATTTCGGTGCATCGAAATGATTAAGCTTCCATGACATAGCTCTGTCTTTTAAGAAGCAAAAGTCTTCGCGAAAGTGATCTTTTTCATTTTTTCCATAATATTCAAACGATATTACGGCTCTTACGTTTAAAGATTGGAAGAAAGCCCTTTTGAGCGATCGTATGCAATCGGTTTTTCAAAGAAACTCTGCGAAAAGAGTGCAACACCTCTTTGACTCGTTCAATTCTCTGCTGCTCTGTGGTCTCGGTTAAACGATATTTCCTGCTTACTTTGTGCTAAAAATTCTTTTCTAATGACACTTCTTTCCCTTTCAATTTTTCCCGCTTTGATATTCACCGGTTCTTTGCACGGAGTACATGGTTTTTGGTTATTTACCGAAGGGTGTATTTACTCATCGTAATGACTGTTTGATCGACGAGATTGGCTGGATCTGTAGATATATTTCTCTCGACAGCTGGATTGCTGCGGACGTTTTAATTTATACATTTTGGGAATATTTTAGGACGATGAAAGATTAAATATTAATAATTTTTGAGAAAATAATTCCATCCGTTTCAGTGATTCTGGAATAATATTTTCTTGTAACAAAATTAGAGAGGATAATGTCGATCGAACAGAGTGAAAAATTGCTATAATTTTGAAATTTCACGAAGAGCCAGGATTAATGGGGAATTAAATAGCTTTGAGGTTATGTTGAATGGATTTAATGCGAAGGGTAGCTCGTTTCATGGAAAGCAAATATGCTACGTCGAATGAGGAAAAGATTCGAAATGTGCGATGTTTTTGGTTAACTATGCTAGTTTCATTTGTGAAGAAAATTAGTATATTAAATTTATATATAGTTCATTTCCTCCGATTGATCAGAATCCTGTTTTCCTAATTACATCGAGTGTTATACAGTGTATTGGAGGAATATATCTATCCCACGAATGCAATTTATCATTATATATATATCTCATAAATTCCATGCATAATGACAAATGATTAACAATTCTCCGATATTGGTAAATTATTGATAATGCATTTGAAGCTTCGCGTGAAACACATCCCTCGGAAATACTTGATGCTAAATAACGAAACGGCTACGATTTCAGACTATTGTTAATTATTCGCAGAAAGTAGAATAATAACTCGTCCGATTGTTCAGAAATTAATTGCAAGTTTTTACTTCTGCAAATTTGTTAATAATCGAAGCACGAGATGAATTACTTTTATTCCTTTGAATTGTTATTACCCCGACCTCCATTGTGTATTTCGATATTTTTTAATGGAAGAATTATTTATGAAGAAAATAATTATTACACATATAACCTACAGATCTCCTCTTACCCAAGCTATTAAATATTATATTACATTCACTTGCATAAATAATTATACAAATTTTAAATGTCAAAAAATAACAAGAAATTCTACAAAAATTATTTTATTCTTCCATATTCTTCCATTTTATCTAGAAATTATCAAAAATTAGGACCCTAAGTCTTTATATCCCTACAATTAATCATACAGATCTCCTGTTCTACCCTTCAGACATCACATGACATTATTTTGCAAATAATTATAAAGAATATGAACAATAACTCACAAAAATTTCGAAAATCTCTAAAAATACCAAAAATTCGATACAAATCGAACGACAAATTATTTCTTTCCTACCATTCTTCGCTTTACCATTCAGCCTCTACCATCATCCCTACAGGGATTAACCCCTTGCACTCGACGATTTTTTCGTTATAGGAAAATAGTAATTCAAAGACTTTCTGCTATAAGTCGACGATAATTTTAAAACGGTAAATAAGAAATCGTATGCAAATTAAGACGCAGAATTATTTTATTTCGATATTCCACGCATCGTTGGGTAATTGTAAACTTGATATATTAACACTAGATTTACGGAACCCGTCGATTTGACGGAAGGGTTGCTTCAATTATACGATGTTAACAGATTTAGTTAACTTATATTAAAACTGTTAATATAACATATAATTGTTTTTAAATTAAACTAATCGTTAAAAAAAAAAAGGGCACGTGGATTCTTTTACCTGTCAATTTGACAGATGTCCTTAGAAACAGGTATACAGATAGCGTCCGTAAACCTAGTGTTAATATCCATCTTTAGAATCTGATTAAATGACGACTGAGAGGTGTCTCTCGAGTGCAAAGGGTTAAATCGTCTCTCTGGTTCCACCCTCAGTACTCCTCAGTACTTTTCCCAAATCCCACCCATCTCAGAGCGAAATTTTACCGTCTCGAAATTCGGAAATTGTCCAAATCCATAGAATGTATCATAGGAATCGAAATCGAAGCACTCGCAGCAGCCTTCTCGCGAGGATCTCGCAGACTTCTCACGTTCGCAGAGAAGGAAACGTAAAGAGGTCGTAAAAACTTACCCAGATTGTCGGGCTGGAAGTGATGATAGCTCGCGTGATGCGAGGTGTGATGACTCAGGGAAACATTGCGCATCGAAGTGGATGTTTCCTGGTGCTGCAATCTCTGCCTGGCCACCGCGATCCCGACCGGCACGCCACCGGCTCCTGCATTCGACACCACGATCCCTGAAAGACAGATACACGTATAAATTTCCGCTCCCATTTTCGCGCCCTTTCCCTTCGCCGGTGTTCCACCGGCCAGCAATAAGCGCGAAATGAAAAACCGTAACGTGAATACGCTGTTCGCAATATGCGAACCTTCGCCTGATAAATCACAACTGTGAGCCGAAGTTTGAACGACTTTGCATGCTGCGCTCGCGATATTTCAACAACGTTAGCGCACTCGTCTGTGTACGTGCGTGAATAAATGGTGACATTCTTCCATTCCTTTTTATTATAGTTATAGAATTTTCTCGTTTCCTGCGTAGACCACGGGTTCGAGTATTAATTAATCCGGGTTCGAGATAATTGCCTGGAACCTCGGTCAATAGGCAATGACAGGTCAGTGACAGCAGACAGCGACGTTCGATAGGTATCGGAGTTTCAGAGATATATAGAGAAACAGGAAAACGCTTAAATTTAGATCTAAGACAGACATACGTGTTGCTGAAATTTTATTTTACTCGGTGACTCAAGTCGTGACGTAGTTGGATAACAGAGTAATCTGTTAGATACAAAGATATAAGGTGTTCGTCATCGAAATTGCACTTTCAAGAGATTCATAGAATCCAAGATCAGTTATTTTTATGTTTATATATTGGGATTAAAATCGGTTTAGCTCTGCGTAGGAGAGTAAAGGGTTGACATTAAATCTGCCACGATATAAGTGCATTCGACATAATTGATTCTGACAGCTAACTTCACAACTATTTTCGTGATCTACATAACATAATATAATTGATCGATTTTGAATATTCGATTAAGAATTCTGCATTCAACAATTGCTTTTGACACTTAACTGCACAACTATTCTCATAATGCACATAACATAATATAAGTGACCGATTTTAAGCATTCGATTAAGAATTCTGCATTCGACAATTGCTTTTGACACCTAATTCCACAACTATTCTCGTAACGTACATAACATAATTCTTCAACATCAGAATCCTTCAATTTCCCAAATTGCGAAATTCATATATCGCCTGTTTCATCAACCGAGACTCGTGTAACGAATCGACGTTTGTAAAGTATTCAACAAAACATCAAAAATGCACAAGTGATCCCACAAATCAGACAAAATAACCGTTTCGTATCGCACGAGATCAGCGTAAATCTACCACTATCGCTACTACAGGTAGAATTGAAATACCTCGTACGACTTCTCAATCGAAAATTGTCGTCTTATCAGTCTACAAGGCTGTTTATATAAATTTCTATACTTATCCACACGCGCATCTTGCCCCACGTGACTCGTAGCAACGCGCACTCGAGCATCCGCACTCTCGCTGAACCCGGCTATCAGCACCCATTGCTTTCCTCTCTACGAACAATGAGCGATCAATGCAGTTACCTTCACAACGATCGCACCCAACATCCACTCCACTATCTGGCATCGTATCAGCAATCGCTCTTTCTCACACGGCGAGACCAAGAAAGTAAACACGGAGTCTTAGCCATCATTCCCATCGCACGCGAGCCTCGCGTCCCAAGGACTATTCCCATCCCACCTAAAATTCATCGACTCACCTATCGACACGTCCGTCTGCGCTCATATCTACTCGCCGAACCGCCACTGCTCAGCCTCATTCTCCGATCCTTCTTCGTCCTTCTCTACACCAATCGCACCCAACCCGAAAACCAAACGAAACGAAACGAGACACGAGAGGAGCCAAGGAACCGAAACAAACGGAGACAAGCAACGAAGAGGAGGATGAAAGAGGAGAAAAAATATGTATACATAGAGGAAAATGGAGTGGAGAAAAAGGAAAAGGAAGAGAAGGTCCTCGACACGGCACGCCGACGATCGATTCCCGCGGCGGACTGTTGGAATCAGATCTACCGAATGAATTCTCACGGCGGCTCTGCCACCCCCACGCGGCGCTCTTTCACGTTTTACTCGTCGTTATTCCGCCGCGAGATACTCGCTCGCATGACGTAACGCGTGCAGATAAACGTGGGCCGTGGATCGTTCCAATCGTGGGTGTACGTGTGCCAGCGGGTACCAGGGATAGACACATAGGGTCGAGACTCTTTCGAGCCACGCCTTGTGTTTGCGTCGCCATGCGTGCCACGCACCTCCTACTTAACAAGGTCGTTTCTCTCCTTCCCCTCTCTTTTTTCTCTCTCCTTTTTTCCTCTCTCCTTCTCGCTCCACACTCCTCTCTCCTCTTTTTCTCTCCTGCCTACCCCACGAGCGTCTGCCCTTCGTCGTCTCTCTTCCTCCTGTCAAGGAGTCCTGCGGTGTTCCCTCGGCCTCTCTCCACCCTTTTCCTCTCGTCATCCTTCGTCGTTGCCTTTTTGGCACCCTTCTCTTTTTCCTGTTGCACGCTTTTATCCTCCTCTTCCTCTCTGCTCTTCTGTTTTTTTCTTTTTATTTTTCCTTTTTCGTGGGGGGAGTTCGGTTGGTTTTGTTTTTGCCGAATCGATTACGACATCTTCCCGAGAGCATCGTAACGAGGGGATGCTGGGTTTGAGGAGATCGACTGTTTTGTTGGCTACTGGGCACTTTGCTGCTGATTCCTGGCTTGGAGATGGTGATGCAGGTAAGTACGAGGTTTGGGAGGAACCTTCGGCCTCCTGTGACTACTTTTCTTCTTTATTTCGATGTTGTTAGGCAGTTTATGAGCCTGTTTATCGTTCATTTCGGATTTTCGAGTTTCCGAGATAGATGGCGTTAACGTGAACGCGTTTCGATAGACTTTCAATGAACAATTAACTGTCGTTTTATTTTAGTTTAATTTTGCTGGATTCTGTCATTTTTTCTTGATTCAGGATATAGTATGTGTGGATTTGGTTTTCTTAGTGTGAATACGAGTGATGGCAGGAATGTTAGATATGTAGCGTTCGTAAACCTAGTGTTAATAACAATAGACCCTAGACCTACCTAAACTCGAATTACTATACCGAGATAAATTAATATCGCGAATGTAAATTTGATTAAAATAAAAATAATCGATCCCATTAGAAATTGTAAACTGCCTAAATAAAACAAAAAGAGAATAATTGGAAGAATAATAATTAACCCTTTGCGCTCGACAATTTTTTTAGCTAAAGAAGAGTACGAGTTGGAAAATTTTGTGCTATTAAGCTGATGATATTTTTTGAGCAGTAAATAAGAAATTGTATAATAATTAACACGTAGAATTATTTAATTTCGATACCTCGCACACTGTTACATTACTTTAAATTTGATATAATAATTAATAACGAGCTTCGAAATTTTATTAAATGGCGACTGAAGGGCGCCTCTCGAGTGCAAGGAGTTAAATACGTTATCTACAATTTGTGGACTTGGTTTAATTAGTGTGAATGCGAGTGTATGAGGTCGAGTGATGGCAGATGGAACATCTAGAATGCGTGGTATTGTGCAATTGTTATAGATCAGAGCCAATATGTTGTGTGAAGTGTCGGTTTGTTATGAAAAGCGTGAAAGTGAACAGTGACGAGATAATAATAGTATTAAGAGAAAATTCAGCACATATACCTAATCTTTGTAATCTTTACGTGACGTGTATATATTATAATTTGTAATAAATATATAATTTTTAAACAGCAAACTCACAGTATTGCTATTTCAAATTTGAGAGAAATATCTCGCGATGTTTTCTACTTTATTTTTATCGTAATATCTTGGTGGTACTCCAAGATGTAATTTGATTTTTAAAAATTTCTTTAAACTTGTGTTTTGTGAAATAATTCCTCGATCCTCGATGGAAGCTTCGACTTGTTTTCGTAGACAAGGTGTTTAAGATTCAAGTATCGCTTGTCCATCGATGTTACAAGTAATTTACATTACTTGTTCTTCCGTTGCTTTGCTTTATTCGTTCATTAATTCCATTGCAAGTTGTGTCAAGCTTGTGCGACTCAACGTCACGTGTTACATAAGAGCACGTGTTATTCCAACGTAAAAGTCTTGTGTCACGCTTCAAGTGACAAACGTTGATGATAGTCATTGACTTCCATTCAAGTCTGCGCAAGCTACACTGCGAAATAAATGACAACGAATTTGTTAGATGCTCTTGAACACACGGGTTTTTACATATGCTCGTCTGGGACATTTTTCTTTCTGCATGAAAGCGAATCACTTCTCTTTTATCGCCGCATATACAAAAATAATTTTCCCTCTGTGCAGAAAGATATTTTATTTCAGGAAAAATACGACGTTAATGGAAACAATTCTTTCGTACTAGTGTACAATTTTTATGTAGATAGAAAATAATTGGAAATAAAGATTTGAAATAATTCTTTCTCTGGGTATATTTACTAAGAATATTCCGGAGGAATAATTAAATTACCATAAGCACCTAAAATGTCTTTTAAATTAATTATAAGGTATTTTAAATGTCATAAGTAGATTCAGGTTTGTCAATAGGCATCCTGTCATTGATTTTGACTATATTTAGAGAATTAATTCTAATTTTTATACCAAAGTGGATTTAATTCCAATTTTAATTCGAGTATAAATTACAACGACGATTATAAATAAATATTAAGATGCAATAGAGACGATATCAGACTTATCTACGATTAATAACAGTATCTTTGCGTCCCTACTTCTTTCCATTGCAACCATTGACCCCTCTCGGTTCATTTCCTTCTCTTTGTTAACCTGTCTCTTTCTTTGAGCATTTCTTTACTTCCGTCTAATTTCTTGCTTTCGTCATTGCACGCCTTACGTGTCTTAGTGTCTTCATTGGTCTCGCTATGATGCGTCTTTTTTCTCTTCGTTTCCTCCTGCATCTTCTGTCCCGTTCCCCTTCGTGCCAAAAGCGTATTTTGAAACTGAACAGCAGAGGCGGCTCTCTCGACCAAGCATCGAAATGGAGACAACGTAATTGTGTTCTAGTTTCGAGTACACATGCACATTGTAAATTTTCTTACATTCTCGTTTTAGAATCTTAAGTCGTTGTTTCAAAGTACTTTAGGAAATGTAAGAATCGTGTCGGTGTCGACGCGTTTAATTT